ATTGCATGAATCTATAAATTACCGTTTCTTGTATTTATTCAAACTCTATTTTATTTGAGAAGGAATATTTTTCCAAAACTTATAAAAGCCTTTTTTTGTCTAGTATTAGAAATATCGTTAAGTTTTATAACGATTGCAAAACTCATATTTTAGAACTGCATGGTAAAAATAAGATCAAAACAGGTTTAAATTACATTTTTTATCATCCTTTATGCATTTTTTTTCTCTTATAACCTTTTTGTCTCTACTATATGCCTCCTTTGAATAATAAAGAGAGCAGTTAAATAATCCAAGTTGGGATTTGAATCATTTTATTCTAAATTTTACTTGGAACACAACTCTAAACACAATTTTACAAATTTAGAAAGGGGAAACTTGATGTGCACATAACAAACCCTGATATTATGCTCAAAATTTACTTTAGCGTTACAGCTGTAATGGTTTTGAACAGAAGATCACGTACTTTTACAAATAGAGTTGGAATCAGGTAGCATGGAGGATAAAGTATAACTTGTCGGCTTGTCATAACTTCAACGTCTTCTTATCATAAAATCGGAAAACAAAAAATGAGTAGATAATTCTATGTAAAAAAAATTGACCTGTATGAAAAAGTCTGTCGACAATGTATGAAATATAGAGATACTGAATAGTGCTGACGGATTGCAGTCGTAATCAAAGTCATTTTATCGAACAAAAACCGCCGAAACATGGCTGAAAATTACCAACTCGGCTTTAAACAACATCCAAGTTTTACATAGAAATATATAGAACAAAATTTTAAAAATTTTCTTCTCTAGAACACTAAGCCAGGAAATACTACAGTAAAAAGCGGTTATAACGAAGTTGCTGGGACCTATGAAATCACTTCGCTATATCCGTAATTCGTTAAATTTATATTACTGGGGATCCAAAATGACTTCGCTATATCCGTAAATTCGCTATATTCGTGTTCGTACTAAACGAGTTTTACTGTATCAATCAATCGAACAAAACGAATAACTAATTTAGTTAAACGAGACTGTCGATTCGGATAATATTTTGTTTCATCTTATTAGTCAAAAGACTATCTTGTTGTACTAGATGTATTTATCAAAGTTAACGAATAGGAAAATTGAAGTCATCAAGTCGATCATAATTTAATTGTAAGTTTGCAATAAATGTTTTATAATAGAGATGAAAACAATGCAAAGTCATTTTAATCATCAGTGTATTTGAAACAAGAGCACAAAAATCTAAGCTTTAATCTATATTTGAGTTTCCCTTTTCCTGACCCCCATTTTGTTAAGTGGGTTTTACTTCTTCCGTAATTTACTTAAATAAAAAAAAACATTCCACTTCTACATGATGTTATTTGTTTTGCCTGCTTTTAACAAAAAAAAAGACAAGCTCAGTCGTTTCGCAGGAGAACTAAGGAACATAAAAAATTAAATCAATATTAAGCGTTTTAATGCTCATGAGTTATCATTTCCAGTACAAGGAAGGATCATAATTGCAATTATTTCCCTGTCCATTTTTCATCAATTTTTTCTTCATTAAAGTTTTTTTCTTTTATTCGTTTCCACTGGATATTTTTATACAGATATAGTAATACAACCTTTCATTCCCTTTTTTTCTATATCGTTGTGTGTTCTATTATTTTTTTTCTCTCTTTTTTGGATATTTATTTCAAAGGTATTGATATTCAATTTCCAATTAAAATAATTTTTATTTTATTTCCGTGTGAAATGCTGTATATATATAAACATAATATGTCATAATATTATTATACTGAAAATTGGAGAAAATATTAACTTCTAATCTGTGTATAAGACATCATTAATATTAAGTTGACAAGAGAAAGCAATATATTCAATTGCATGGGAAAATGTTTTTTTTTTTTTTTTTTTTTTTTTTTTTTTTTTTTTTTTTTTTTTTTTTTTGAGAATGTCTTTTAAAATTTTTTTTAAATGCATTGTATTTCACATTTATTCATCAATTTAACAATCCTTTGATTCTTGCATGAGAAAGATTCGCCCTATTATTTACGTCTGTTTTGACATATATATTTCCTTCTTGAGCAGTAAGCATTTATTGTGAAATTTCTATTGACAAATTCAATCAATAAACTTTTTTTTAATTCAAAAGGGAGAACAAATTGAAATAAAGTTGAGGAAAATCGTTAAATGTGCATTTATATCAAATTCTGTAAAACTGTTAAAAGATTGTGTGTGATCTTTTCGTATAGATTTTTTGAGAAAACATCAATAGGCAACAGGGAAGTAATTCAGGAAAAACTGGCATAAACTCAATTTATTACAACGAAATGTTTCTTCAACTTTCTGGAATAAACATTATTGCATTTTGGGGTAAGTATCGTTGGTGTGATGTAGTAGTTGGAGAATATTTTTTTTAAAAATACCTTACTATACAATTTGTATGCACGAATTACGCTACTGAAATCAACATCGAAGCCATACAAAATTATCTTCCTAAGAAAGATGAAATATATGGAGATAACAAACAGTATTCAAACTCAAAGGACCATTAAACAATGCAAAATAGGAGCAGAACAAACACGGACCTCCAAAATATCTGAGGCGGTATAAGTGCCATGGATGAGTGAGCATTCCCTTCCAACAGGTCACACCTGCCGTGTGCTCTTTGTCATACTGTAAACCAACTTTTATTCGCGTGTGAGAAGTTTTCGCGAAGTTCGCAAGAGTCTGGTAATGGCGAATATTTCTCGCCGCGAACAAGTCCTTAAAGTGTCTTTGTCTATTAACAACAGATCAAAAAAGGCTTGATCGCGAAAATTAATCGTCGCAAACTAGTTTAACATCGGTAAATCGCGAAATAAAGCCGTCGCGAATAAAAGTTGATTTACAGTAATCGGGAAATTACGGATTGAACCGCTGTCAATTCATTGTATATATAATGGCCTTACTATGAGTCTGAAAAACGTTAGTCGGCATTTTACTCAATGATAAATTATATTTGCTGGTCTTAATCGACCATACGAAATGATGACTTTAAAATATATGTAAAATGAAAAAAAATTCTTAATTTTTGTTGTGTAAAATTGTTTTTTTATTATACTGAGATAAACATCTCAGCAATTTGTATAAAAATGTCAAGCTAACGAAAGTTATCGCCTACAAAAATCTACAAACAGTGCAAATTTGTGAACAGAGCATGAACTTCTTCGGAAATTTCAGATGTTAGATCAGGCGCCTAGAAGAGTATCCCTGATGACCAGTAACATCTACCGTTAGACCTGTGAATTGATTTATTAGACGGAATATTCCATGGACAAATTCAATATAAATACAAAGGCGTAACAAATGATATGAAATGAGTCCGCCAAAATACGTCCCAATTTAAGGTCATATTGGTTAACGAAGACAGTATAGTTACCAAAGTATTTCCAGAATGATGACTTTTAAAGAGTTGTCAAGAACCCTGTAACATCACCCTATCTATCATTAGCCTGCCTCGGTTTGACAATTGTTCGTACCCAGAGCGCATGCTCTCGAGAATCGACAAGGTAACTGTATCGACGATAGAACCCAAAAAACGACGACTCCAAATGAGACTGCTGATATTCTTGTTTCAGCAATTTGTTTGTCAATAATTTACCTCGTTTTAGAAATTGTTCAAACGTAGAACATGCTTTTTTTTGTATTGCATCAACTTGAAGCTGAAACATATGAAGATAACGAAAAGTATTCAAGACCACATGTCGATTAAACAATGCAGAGCAAATGGACCCCTAAAACATCAGAGGTGGGATCGGGTGCCATGAAGGAGTGAACATTCCCTGCCGACCGGGATATACACCTGCAGTGTGCTCCTTGTCATGATCGGGGAATAACGGAGAGTCAGTGTATAAATAATGGACAAACAATTACGCCCCAGTAGTTTGAAAAACGTCAGTCAGCATTTGGCTCAAAGATAAACTTATTTGCTGACATGGTCATTTATCGACCACAGAACTTACAAAATGGTTACTAGTACTTTAAACGAGACTGCTGATATTTTCGTTTCATCAACTTGTTTGTCAATGATTTACCTCGTTTTAGAAATTTTTCATAAGTAGATCGTGCTCTTGCATATCGAATCAACTGAGATGTATAACTCCGTATGCAGATAATGAAGGTTATTACTGCATAAGTAAGGGAAGATGACGATAGATGACGTTTATCATAGAGCTTGGTGGTTAGATAACCATTAGCGTCTTGTCTTTTTCAAGTATCCAAATATGAAAAAAGATGTGTCAGACTCTGTGATATAACACGTACCCGTATGCAGGTACATATATTAACAAAGCTTTTGGAAATCTGGAAGCAATACCTTTTTTAAAAAAAAATATTGAAGTATCAACTTCAATGGTCTTGTCAGCAAATCCAATTTAACAATAAGTCAAATACCGAAGAATGTTTTTCTTAATTGTTAAGCCATTACATATATTTAATTACTGAATCGTCAGCGGACAACGGATGTTTTCCCAATTATGACAAGGAACACGTGGCGGGCGGACCGGTCGGCAGGGGGATGTTCACTCCCCAATGTCTTTTGATCCCATCAATTGTGTGCTAGAGGTTTGAGTTTGCTCTCAACCTGATTTTTCTTGTTTGAATTAATTTTTGAGCTTGAATATTAGATATCTGTAATCTCCATATTACATTTCTGTTTTACTAATCATGAAATACCGTTTACTTTGAACAGGAATTATTCTCTTCAATTTCCTGATTGGGGTACATGCGAAATGTTCGTCCACCTATGTGAATAATATATGCGGTACGGGCGGTCTTTTTTATAACTGCCAGCACCAGGAATTTACTTCTGTACCACAAATCAATGTTTCAGGAGTAATTGCAATAGATCTGTCAAACAACAATATCACACATCTTACCAATTCGGATTTCAAAGGAATGGGTGCTTTAAAAGCAATATATATCACAAGGAACACACTGTGGCGTATTGAAAAGAATGCATTTCAACATTGCTCTCGGCTGTGTATTTTAGATATAAGCTCGAATGGCATAACAAAAGATTCAATAGAGGAAGGTGCATTTGGGAATCTGACAGCACTTGAAGATTTGAGAATGACCGACAACCCTTTTTCTAGAGGAGGATATCCCGATACAGAAATAGGAAGACTGACGTCATTAAGAAATCTGTCATTAGATGCAACTTATTACTTAAGCTTTTCTTCAGAATTCCAAAACTTGAAAAGGCTACAGTATCTGGAGATTTCACCATCATCTTATTTCTGGTTTGACAATGATTCAATTATGAATTTGGAAAATCTAAGTATTGAATATTTGAACCTCCAATTCAGTGATAATGGTGCTTGTTATCATCATATTGAAGATATATTCTGGCCTTTTTCTTCTTTGAAAGGGTTGACTTTTCAAACATATTGTGGTTTACGTTATGTTCTGAAATCTTTGAAAAGATTGCAATTTTATCAAATGGAATACATCGACTTTACAGGATCAAGTAACTTCAATGGTGAGCCCGTTCTCCTCAACGACGTTGACGTAGCATTTCTCAAAAACATTTGTGTTAAGTTCCTTTCTCTACAGGGTACAAGTACTGTGGGAATACCAACATTGAACCCATCCATATTTATGAAATGTATTGAAGTTATTGATGTGTCACATAATTCAATATACACCTATTCGACGTTCTTTTTGTTCGTGCAAGCAAGACGAATTAGACTCGTTAATTTCAGTCATTTGAATGAATGCCAATTACCAAGTTCAAGAAGAAACTTATTAGAGACCCAGGAAATGCTACAAAAGCGGTTTCTTCCTGTTAACATCACTCTCTCAAAAACGCTGGAGGAATTCGATGTTTCTTATACCTACGCAAATCCAAATTTACTTGAAATTCACTTAAAAATATTTGCTACCAACCTCAAGAAGGTAAACTTACAATACATAGGTTTTCCTTTTTGTTCTTACCACAATATAGAGTTACACTTACCGAATCTAGGAATCTTTGACGTTTCAGGTTCGTCTTGTGAAAATTTAAATTTACAATTTTTGAAGAATTGCCTCTCTTTAACAGAAGTTTATATGCGAAATACCAAATTAAATATCGGTCTAGCCAGTGATGTGAATGGCATTTTCTTTCGTGGATTGTCGAAATTAACGAAGGTTGATTTTTCAGAAAACGCCTTGAAAGAGTTACCTCCAAATTTATTTCTCAACCAGGCGTCTTCAATGAGGAATCTGATACTCAGCGATAATTTATTTACCACAATACCGCGTGCCTTACTTCTCTTACCTAGGCTTAAACTCCTTGACCTGCGATCCAACAAACTCTCCTATTTTTCAAAGGAATCTTTATCAATTATTGAGAAATTACCCAATATTACAATAGATGTCAGAAACAATCCATTTGACTGTTCTTGCAACGCTTTAATTTCCTTGAAATGGATCAGAGACAATGCAAGAAAGTTTCTTCATTTGAACAGGACCCACTGCAACGAGTTGGAGGACCCACGGATAACTGTTAATGAGATCGTTAACGATCTGAGAGCATTAGAATTAAAGTGCATATCTCAACTATGGTTGGATATATCGATATCAATTGTTTCTTCCATGGTTTTGATTGTGCTAGTGGTAGCGATAATGTATCGATATAGAATGGTCCTTCGCTATGGGGTACTGAGAATAAGGCTATTTTGGAGACGTGGCTTTGCCCACAATTTGACAACAGATTCAACTGCTTTTGATGCATATATATCATATTCTCCTGTGGACTCTTTGTTTGTGAGTTTGCATCTCTTTCCTAAGTTGCAGAGAGAAAATCTTCGCATTTCCTTCCAGGATAAAGATTTTGAACCTGGTAGTACCTTTGCAGAAGAGGTTGTGGAGTTTATAAATATAAGTAAATGTGTTATATTTGTTATCACACACACTTTTCTCAAATATGACTGGGGAACATATGAAATCCAGGTCGCAAAAATTCATGCAATTCATAAAAATGCCCGGATTTTATTAATTATCAAGGATGACATCGGAGTTGAGGATCTTCCTCGAGATCTCCTCTATGTTTGGTGGAAAATTAAACCAATCAGATTGCCTGACAGTAACAACGCGACAAAGAGGGAAAAGTTCTGGAGGAAGCTTATTAAGTCAATCAAGGAATCTTAAAGCTTGTTTTATTGTTTGAAGGTTAGTAAAGAAATAACAGCAATAGAACCATATATCAGGCGATTAATTCTTGAACTTCAATGGCTGGTTTGCATTAAATCCATTTTGATTATTTTTACGTGACAGGTGATAGTGACTGGTCAACAGGGGATCCTTGCTCTTCCAAGGCACCTGATTCCACATCCGGAATTTCCAAGGGCCAAGTTTATGCACTCTTTACAGTATCTTTTGTAGATTTTTGTGTATAATACACTGTTCGTTAATCTCAACTATTTCATTATAATTTGGGTTATATATTTCATGATGCAACATTTTCAAAAATAATGTTTTACAAACCTCATGAGCTAAATTTCCAGATCCAATAGCATTTTTATACGTTTGTATCATGTTATTTATCGATTGTTAGAATATTTATTCAATTTATATTAACAATCTGACTTTTAAATAGTTAATATGTTGTTTAATTAAGGAATAACTGTCTTATCTTTCGATTTCATGATGTGATCAATCGATTGGCTTGCGGGATAATTTGTATAAACGCTGAAAGCCTTCGGCGTTTGTGCAAATTATCATGCAAGCCAATCGATTGATCATCGTAATGAAACTGAAAAATATGACAGTTATTCCTTGTATTTACATGCTTTTGATTCCGCCAATCCATGGCCACGTGCTCCAAGCCCTGCTTCTGTCTAGCTATTTGTCCCGCCCTGCAAGTGATTTTTTTTTAAACCGCGCCTATTGATGAACCAATACATCGATGGGGAAATAAAGTATATTAACTATTTGTAATTTTACCTCGGACAAAGACATTGGAATTGTAAATATATTGCAATTCCTTCTTTTAGAGTGATTGATTGTCGTTGTTCTTTGTCCAGGGTATAAAATATATCACGAATCGAAGTCTTATATAAAATGTAATCATTGAAAAGGAAAGAATTTGAACATTTCTTTTACATGTTTCAGTTAAAATTCAAATCCTACATTATTTTCAAACCGTGACATTTTAACCTTAAGAAAATATATAATCTAAAAGTATTTCCTTATAAATATGTCTAACAACATTGCTAAACATCGTGGTTACCTGCGCTTCATATACATGTGTTTATTTATGTAATGTGTAACTATTTGTACGAAGGATACATTAACATTTTTGTTAATCTTGATGTGTCAGGGAGAGGGCATATATATACATGTATACCTCATATAAACAAAGAACTTCAATTATAACAAAATATTTATTTTTTAGGCAAAGGAACTGTAACTTATTAATCTTTCTTGATATCATAAAAAGCAAATTTTTAAACCAAAATCCCACATCTACATTTTGTAATTAACACTGACTATGGTATTCCATTTCTGAAATTATCCTCACTGTCACAAAATTCTATTAGTCGTTTCTCTGGTATTTATGTATAAACATCATAAATAATAGTGTGAACATTAACATATTAATTATATAATAATACCGGGTATATTACATATTTCAAATAAAAATTCTTAAAATTTGGAAGTTAACATTTACTAGCTATATGATCAACAAACTGATACTTTTATTAATCTGACACCTGCTGGAACAGATTGGGTTTGAACAAAAGCTGTACATTCATGTGCAGACAAGCATTTAGGTGAAAATCCTGGACACGCATTGTGAGCTACAGTTCAGTAATCGTAAGGCTGTTCTGCCTTAGGATTTCCATCCGAACAGGGTCGGCACGCTCAGGTTACAGGAATTGCCACGTGGAACACTCGGAATCCTCTTGACGTATTAGGACAAGTCAATGTTTCACTCCGTCTCAAAGACGCTAAAGGCTCGCAACATGTACAAAAGGAAACAAGACGGACTGCCTGCTCATCGTATCGCCATTCTGGAACAGCGCGTGAATGGCACGTGCCCCGACAAGCAAGCACCCTCACAACTTTGGAGTGACAGCCTACATGGGAAAGGGAAAATCCAACAAGTCGAATGGCACATGTTTTAGATGTCGAATACTGTTGACGATTTACTTGTAATATTTCGTCCACTGTATCACAGTTATTTCCTAAGATAAGTAGTGAAAATAAAAATAATCTAATAGAAATAGGTTCCAAACATAGTACCAACCAACTGCAATCACTGCAAAGTCTCAACGAGAGACGCTTCCTGCTTTGTTGAAATAGTTATTGAGGAATCTTTATCATCGATTTTAATGTACTTGGGTATCTAATTTTATTTTTAAACTCGTTTTCTGTGCGTATTTGTGTTATTTTATCCTTGCGAATGAAAAGGAGGAGAATCAAAAATAGTAACATATAACATTAATAAATCTGTAACTTTTGTAAAATCGGGAAAAATCAAAGAGCTCTGGAAATCCAAAAGAATGGATTAGGTGTCCGGAAGAAGAAAGGAAGAAAACACATCTATTGTGAGTCTCATTCTGTATTTATCAGGGAAAATACATACATGTAGCATCTAACCAAAAACGTTTGAAACACGAGAGACTTTTTGGACAAGTTAGTCAATTCCAATTATATATGTTATAGGCTGTTTTTCAATGAAACATATAGAGATAACGAACAGTATTCAACATCTAAAGCTCATAAAACAATACAAAATAAGAACAGAGAAAACACTGACCTCCAATGGGATCAGGAGCCATGGAAGAGTAAGCATCCCCTGCCAACCGTTCACTCTCGCCGTGTGCTCCTTGTCATGATCGGGAAATAACGGGAAATTGTCGTCAATTCAATGTATAAATAATGGACTAGCAATTATTATGAAAAACGTCAGTCATCATTAGACTCAATGATAAATTGTATTTGCTGATGAAGTAATAACTTAAAACGAGACTGCAGGTATTCTTGTTTCATCAACTTGTTTATGAATAATTTACGTAGTTGTAGAAATTGTTCTTACGTAGAGCATGCTCTTGCGTATCGAATCAACTGAGATATGTAAACTCCGTTTGCAGGTGATGAAGGTATATTGCTAGAAAGTCTCCATTAAGATAATCTATTTAAAAAAAACAACTCCGACCAGACCAGTTAAAGCCATAGACAGTTTGTTACTAGCGGGTTAAAACGATAGGTATATATACGCAGAACATAATCTTTGGTACCGATGAATTCAGGCAGGGTCAGATATATTAAGTACAGATGATACATTGAAGAAGATATGGTAACATAGTTATCTGAGCTTAACTCAAAAATCTCGAGTCATCCTGTTTGCCATTTTAAATCTCATTAAAATAATTAACCATTTACATCTTTTTTCTGCTAACATGAAATCAGTTGAAACAGAAGTTGCAGACTCATAATTGTCTTCATAATTATTAAGATTGACAAAAGAAAAGCTGGAGTCATCACGCTTACCATGTAGTTGAATTCAAGTATGTGTGGTTAAATTTCACCAATCAAGAATAAAAAAATAATGATTACATTTTGCTCTACTTCTGAGAACATTTTAATGTGACTAAGGTATATGGGGAAAATGGATTGTGTGTTTTCCTTATATGCATGCAGGATTGATACTAGAACGACTTAATAAGTAGCGTTCGTACTTCAAAAATCACTATAAGGCCTCCATAGTTATCGCCCGGAATTTTTTAGTCATACCAAAATACTGCATAAATCTATAAGTTACTGAGAAATTTCTCTTATTTATCCAAACTCTATTTATTTGAGAATATTTTTTAAGAACTTTCGAAAGCCTTTGTTTGTCAACAACTCTAGAAATATCTTTAAGTTTTACAACGATTGCCAACTGCATGGGGAAAACAAGATCAAAACACATTAAGATTCCATTCTTTTTATTATCCTTTATACCATTTATTTCTTACGGCCTTTTTGACTCCACTATTATGCCTCCTTCGAATAATAAAGACAGCGGTCAAATAATCCATTCTTGATCTTGAATTCTTAATCATTTCATTCCAGTCTGTGCTGAGAACAAAACTCTAAACACTTTATACAAATTTACAAGGAGTAAACTTAGGTAGATTTATAAACTTTGAAGATAACAAAAAGTTATATCATTCTTAAAGTTTACTATAGCGATACTGGGTTTCATCAGAGGCATCACGGACCTTTACAGAGTTGGAATCAGGTGCCATGAAGGACAAAGTGTACCCTGCCCAGATAGCATGACTATGTTGGGCCAACATTTGTTAAAGGTTGTATGGTTGGCGTTGGGAGAATAACGTTGGACCAACGTTAGAGCAATGTTACGAAGTCAACCTTCTCGACCATGACGGAATTTCTATGTTGACCCAACGTTGGTCCAACGTAAGCAACTTCCATTCACTTTAGTTTCCAATGAAGGAAGAATCATGGCGTTGGCCAAACGTTGGACCAATGTTTATAATACACCCTTAAAGAAAGTGCCTTATCAAGTTGGTAGTAGTATGTTGGCCCAACGTTGGCCCATTGTCTGTAATGCACCCTTAAAGAAAGTGCCTTATCAAGTTGGTAGTAGTATGTTGGCCCAACGTTGGCCCCTTGTTTGTAATACACCCTTAAAGTGCGTGTCCTATCAAGTTGGTAGTAGTATGTTGGGCCAACGTTGGCACATTGTTTGTAATACACACAAGTGTTATTTTGTTTAGGTCTTTCAAAGATGGGATATTTATATTGGGCCAACTTGGCCCAATTATTTTACTGCCAACTAATTGATGGTGTCAATTTTATATTTAGCTGCTGAGCTTTACGTTGGGAAAACTTTGGCACATTCTGAAATAATTAAGAGGACTTTCTATGTCCATGCTTATCATTGGATGACTGCTTTTGTTTAAATATGATATTTTCAAAATTTATCTTTGCACTTAAGTGATCTAGCACCAAAGAGTGTTTTATTCTAGTTTCTGAATTGTGTTTATGCTTATTTATTTGTAATAACCCAGATAGCAGAACACCGTTGGCCCAATCTTACATTATGGTTCTATTATCTATGTTGGGTTACCTTGGTTGGGCCAACAATGGCCCAACATGGAATATTGATGGCCTGTTATGAATAATAGTGCGCTAATGTTGGGCTAACTTTTGGCATTATATCATAAAACTATTATCATGAGAGAAAATATTTGTTTGGGGATTGGCATCGGCCCTACGTTGGCCCAATATACCATGAATCTGACTGAGCATTATGGGTAGACAACAACCGGGCTACTTGTAATATCCGCGCCATTTTTAATCTGACACAAGCGTAATGAGACTGATAACTTGCATATCTGCATCCACTTTGTAAGTATTAATAATATGTTTGCCTCAGCACAGCTGAATTTACGA